GCCCGGCGAATTGCCTGCTGCTGACCCCTGATGGGATGCCGAAGACATACTGTGGTGGGGCAGAGCGCATGAGCCTGGTGGCTGACGGCAAGCTCTTTGTGGGCAGCGGCAGCAGTACAAACCCGGAGGGGCTGGTCATGAACACAGAGATCCTGGGAGCCACCACGGAGGTGCTCATCGAAGATTCAGACTCCACTGGACCCTAGTGGGCGGGGAGCACGTGGGTGCTGGGACAGTTTGGACTCTGTATTTAAAAGGAAAAAAAAAAAAACCACAAAAACAAAACAAAAAGGAGACACTTACTGAAAGAGAGAAAAGTTAAACAAAACTTACAATACTAGTAAATAACCGAAGGGTCTGCTCCCCTCCAGCGTGGATCACAGCACATCCTCTTTCTCCCAACCACTTCTCTCTCTCCCACTGCTCCTTTGTAGAAAGGGGCACATGCTGCCATTACCAGAGCAAATTGGACTGAGCGACGGATTTCTCCAAGGGAGGGGGGACTGCTGAAAGCCTTCGCTCTACCCCAAAGCAGATGCCTTCCTGGCTCCTTGACGTGGCCCCACTCACAAACTAGAAAGCATTCGATGTGCTCTGGGCAAGTTTCTTAGGACTCCCTCTCACCCCTGGTCCCAACTTCTATGCATCGCTGCACTCTGGTCCTTGCAGTCTCCTTCCTCCTCCTGGGGCTGGGAGTTTGGCTTGGCACTTTAGGCCCCCTCAGCAGGGTGAGCTGTGAAACAGCGCACGTCCCTCTCCCCACCGCGCTCCTCTGCTCCAGCTCTGGCAGGAAGTCGAGGGAACGCCCTGGCTCATAGATCATGTTTGCTTGGAGAGGCCCGGGGGCTACGGGAGCCCTGCGTGGGAGAGGCAAGGAGGAGCATCCCGGTTTGACGACAGTAATTTGCACTTTGAACATGTTTCGTTTTTGTGTTGTGGTAACAAGATTCCTTATTTATTGATTAAAAAGGGTCGGTATTTTTTAGTTATGTTCTTAGGGGGTGGGGGTGGAGGGGGTTCAGGCTGTTTCCCAGTAGGCTCCTTCGCACTCGCGAGCTGCAGGGAGCACGTCGTGCCATTGTAACAGCAGCTGGGAGAGCCGAGGTGAAGGCAGCCTTCTGGAGTCAGATGTCTCTCGCAGCTTTTCCAGAGTAGAGGGAGAGCCCCTGGAGAAGAGCCTGTTTGCAGTGGGAGTCTCTGCAGCAGCGCGTTAGCAGGAGGATGAGGTGAGTGATGGAACAGCCAGCTGTTGTCTCCCTCCCTCCTAGGTCGGGGTGAGCTCCTTGCATTAAATGCTCTTTTTGCCTCCCCCTTGCTCCCTAGAACATCATTAGCCAGGAACTTGTTCTCGTGACTTAGGACAGCTGTGAGCTCCTTGCTGCTGGGGGATGCTGTGCTCCTCGTCCAACTCTGCCTCTCCTTTCCAGGTCTAGACAAAGATACAGAAGCAGGGACTGGATACGGTTGTCTCAGGCTTGTTTATCCAAGGCAATAGACTGACGTGGGACTAAGGGGCTGTCAGCTTCTCTCCCTGCCCCCATTTTGGGGGGAGAGCGTTGTGCAGCCGTGTTCTCAAAGCTTCTTTTTTCTGCGCAAAAACCCCTGCTTTCCATGAAATGTGGCGGTTCAAGTGTTGCCTGCCAGCGTAGTTAGGACAGCTCAGAGCCCTTGGAAAAGTTTACATAGGATATGATGTGTCTGCTATGGAGACTTGGATCTTTTTGCTCTTATCTGAAACTTTGTGTGGAGATTCAGTGGCCTTGAATTCGTAGTGTGTTTGGAAGAGGTGAAGAATAACCTGGGCTTTTTGTTTGTTTGTTTGCTTTTTTCGGTTGGGTTTATGTGGTTGGGAGCAGAGCTGAGGTATCTTGTCCGAGCACAAGATCAGTTCAACTGGCCTGTAGCACACAGCAGCTAGGCAAAATCTGGTACCGGGGGTCTGGAGAATGGCAATAAAACATGGCATTTAATTGGAAACCTTTTACAGGAAACTGACTCTGAACGCCCACTCTGTCCCCTGTGCTGCCTGGAAATCCAGCTGTGGCCCAAGCCTGACAGCTTTTATTGGGCCATTTGTCCTGATTTGCCCCCTCCCTTCCCCCCTTACACTGGTGTCTTTGTCAGAGCAAGCTGAAACACTTCTGGTGACGGGGTAGTTTGTGGCTGAACAGCGTGCAGCCCCGGTGTCTTATGCTCTGGGTGCAGGCATCCCACGTTCTCGCACCGTGGCAGCAGCATGGCTCCCATGCCTGCAGGAGATGCGTCCGGCCACGAGCCTCTCCTGGAGATAAGGATGAGGGCCCAGCGTGCCTGAACGGGGGTCTCCTGGGACAGTGCATGTCAGGTCCGCGGTGCTATGGTGTTAAACTAAACCAATTTCTTCAGTTGGGATGATCCCATTTCTTGCTGGGATCAAATTATTGTGATTTCCAGCAGGAAGCTTTTGGGTGGCCAGCCGGTCCCCTCCCCTTGCAAACTAAAGAGAAGCAGCACAATGAGATGTGTTCAAACCCAGGTGATGGTTTCGCCCCCCAGCAGTGCGGGTCGTCTGTCCGGGGAGACGGGGCTGGCCGGGCTGCGTTGTGTGGTGGTGCGTCTCCTGGCCTGGGTCCCGGCCACCCGTAGCAGATGCGCTCGTGTGGTGCGGGTCGGCCACCTCCTCCCCACGCTTGCTGCAGACCATGCTGCTGGAGCTGCTTTTCGTGCCCTGCCCCTGTGCCCCATGGGAGGTGCGGCGCGGGCAGAGCCTTGCACAGAACACTAAACAGAGAGCTTGGGGTTTTGTTTTCTGAGGGATGGCACTAAAATGCTCTTGGGTCAAGGGCTTGCTCGCCTCTGGTGATGCAACGCTTGGCACCTGGCTGGGAGGCGATGGAGGCTGCCTCACCCTGTGCCTGCCCCGAGCGGAGCAGAGAGTTTGCCATCGGCCGCGTTTCTGGGACGCAGAATCGAGCGGCTCATTTGCTTCCTGGCCCGGACACCTCTGATCCCTGCCACTTCCCACCTTGTCCTTCCATGCACACCTCTCGTAGCTCTCCTTTTTCTTTTCCTGGTCTCGGCCAGTTGCCTGTCTGTCCTCTAACCGCAGCCTGCTAACCCCTGATGCAGGAGAGACTGGTGTGGCTCCCGTCCCACTCCCCTTTGGAACCCTGAAACTGACACAGCCCTCCTGCAGCGCCTCCTCCCCTCGATGTCTCTCCTTCACTCGCATGCAGTTTGCTTCAATAAATTATTGTAGTAGTTTGCAATAAACTTTTTTGTATTTTTTTTCCCTGTATTTATTTTTTTTCTCCTCCCGGGGAGGGAACGGAGGGGGCGCAGGGCCCTCTGCCCGCTCTCGGAGAGCTCGCGGGCGCTGTGCCCAGCGGCGTGCGGGCAGGGGCCTCCCCCCGGGGCCCTGGGGTGCGGGGTTTGGGCCGGGGGCTCTGCCCGCTGCAGCTGGGGGCCTCCCGGAGCTCGGCAGCGCTTTCTGCAGTAGCCACCAGGTGGCAACGACGCTGTTGGGTTGGCCACCAGCCCTGGGCGCTGGGGCTGGCGGCCGGGGCAGGCCCCCAGCCAGGCTGGGGCAGGGCTCGCTGTACTGTGATACTAAAGGGAAACTGCCTTTCAACTCCTGGTTTTTTTTCTCTTAATCTGGGTAATACGTAACCAAAATAAATGTACTGAGGAAAAACCAAACCAACCAAAAGGGCTGTTTGTGTCTTGGTGCATGCAGCTCACCTGTGGCGGGTGGCCAGCGTTGCCCGGGGGTGGCCGGGACCTCCTCGCCTCTCTGCAGCCCCGCTCTGGGGCGGGATGGCTCTGGGAAAGGGGGGTTAGGCCTGGGGCACCCGGCCCCTTGCAGCCGGGGGGGGGATTAAGGGGGCTGGAGGCGGCCAGGCCAGGCCCCTGCAGCCTCCTCTTGGGGTTTGGGTTGCAGCCCAGCCCGCAGCCGGTGCTGGATCTCCAGCCCGAGGGCTCCTCTCAGTTTTTCGCTGGCGAGCCTGCAGCGCTCTGCCCTGCTTAGGCCCCAGCTCGCTGCCCGGGCTGAGATGTTGAGCAATGTCCGGGCTTTACTCGCCTCTTCCCGGCAGCCGCTTCCCGCGCTCCGGCATGAGCCGGGGGGATTAGTGTGCTGCTAATCTCCCTGTGTGGCTGGGAGGGAGGAATGGGTGAGAGCTGGGGCTGGGAGCCTGTTGCTGCCAGGCGAGACCGTTCTGGGCAAGGCGCTTGGAGTAGCAAAGCATGGGGGAATTAGGGAAAATAATCTGTCGCTGTTGATCCCAGAGGCGGGAATTTGCAGTGTCGTGCCAGGCCCCAAGCGCAGAAGAGGGGGAGAGCCAGGCCGGCGGATGCGTGAGCGGAGCTCCCGGCTGGAATGCACCAGCTCAGCAAGGGATTGTCCTCCCTGGGCCGGGCAGGCGCTGCGCCATGAGCCTGGTGCCCGTGACAGCTGCCCAGGCCATGGCGGCAGCAGACAGCGCCTCAGCCGCCCTCCGGCGCCGTGACCTGTGCAGCCGAGGCATCCGCCTGGCCGGGAAGATGCGCTCAGACGTCGTCGACCTCCTGGACACCTACGTGAGTTTGCCCTGCTCCCTCCGGCTGCCCGTGGGGCTGGGAGCACTGGCAGGGGGGCCGCCGCTACCGGGGTCCGGGGGGCTCCCGGGAGG